AATATAAACAAGTTCTATAATGTGAGTTATAATTGGTATTTTGGTTTTTTTCATGATAGCTCAAGACTTGCCTTTTCCCCAGAGAATCTAAGTTTAATCAACATTCCTTCTTAGAACTGCCTTTGAAAGAAAAAACAAGCAAAAAATACAATTTAAGCTAGCTGCAATTACACTTTTGTTTAGAAAACTGTGATGTTTATTCAAAAACTTGCAACAGATTAACACATGTTAGTCAAATTATTCTTAATACATTATCTACAAGAATCTACTTCTTATTCTCTCAGCTTACGAAGTTCGCATGGCTAACCACAAATTAGTTTGGCTGTTAAGCAATGTTAGCAACAATTTCTGAGAGTAGTAATCAAGAGATCTTGGTCCTAGATAGATATGCTTAACAGAGCTATATTTTGAAACCGTTTTCTTGTTTGCATTTTATTCCTTTTAGATGATACTTACCTTGCCTTCTCATTTTCCCACATACCGGTAGAATAAACTGTCATAAAAGATGTGGAAATACAGTCAGCTATTCTGTTTCATGTGTTCTACATTCATGGATCCAAATAGCCATGACTGGAAGATTCATAAAAATAAATTGCATTTGTACTGAACTTGTGCTGACTTCTTGTCAGTATTCCCTAGATAATATAGTATAGATATTATTTACATATTTATATAGCATCCACATTTCATTAGTTAAAAGTCATTTAGAAATGATTTAAAGTATCCTAGAGAATGTGTATAGGGTACAGGCAAATGTAAGGTCATCTTATATTAAAAATAAGCTTGAACATCTGAAAGGTTTTGCTTTAGAGGTGTGTTGTAGCATCCTGGAACAATTCCTTTATGGTTACTGAGAATAACTCTACCTGCAAAGATTACAGATGCAAGTAAGTGTAAGCCATCACTGTGAAGGCCCTTTCGTTACATTAATTCAGAATGTGTTTTTTTGTCCCCCTTGGGAAGTGAATGGGGGGAGAGAAAAAATTTGTGATCCTTATTCTTGCAAACTAGTCAGTCTGCCTCCTCAACTTGCATAGCGCTAATTGTTCCTAATGAAAGAAAAGTAACATTTTTAGGCCCCACTTGCGGGAAAATTTTTAAATAGAACTGGCCCGAGGGCAATTTTCAAAATAAAATCTAAATAATGCAAGATTGTTAGCAGGAACTGTGCCAGGGCTGGATTATATGACTAATAAAAATCAACTGGAATCTCAGACATTCAGGGAGCCTTGATCACACTTCTACTAGGTCAGCCATGGTGACAAGAGCACTCAAATTCAGCCTTGTCTTTGAGTTCGAGGGACCTTGGGTATCACCAACAACTTCATCTTAGGGCCTGTTCATGGGTTAACAAGCAATTTGTCAGCCTCAATTGGCATGCAAGTGACAAGAGCCAGAGGGAGTCCATCCAGGGCCCTGGACTAAGGTTTTTTGTGTGTTAAGGGTTAGGGAGGATTGAACCCTCTCCTCCTGCAACTCATCAGCCACCTTCAGGGTGAGTCCCCTGCCCTTACAGTCACCCCAAGTTAATACAAGTACTGCTGGCAGGGCCTAAATCATTTAATCTTTGGAGAATGAACAGATGAGAGCATCTCTTGTGCCTGAAAAACTTTGCCTGGAGGTCTGGGTTTTATTAGAGGAAACATTTGTCTAAGAAGCCCCCAGAAAATTTAGTGGACTATCATTAACCCTTTGACCTCCAAAGTTATGACCTTTGTCTTGTAGCTAGTATTTTATGGTACCTGGAAGTTTTTTTGTTTTTCATCCATTTTCCTTTTTGTATCTAATTCAGTGTATCTTTTTGATCCTTTCAAACTTTCCTGGTCCTCTGGTATTAGATTTGTTCCCCAAATTACCACGTTCCGAAGATTTCCTGTCAAGTAGCAGTCCTCACCTTGTGGCCTACCTCATCCCACTGCAAATATAGTAGTGATTGCTTGTGATAGTTATATACTATCATTGTTATTATTTATTGGTGATATAGATAGCAATGTAAGCTATACTAAAATTCTGGTTTTGTAGTTAAAATATATTGAATACCTAATATTTAACAAATAATATGCTGGGTATTTTAGATATTTTATTTGACACTATTGTCTGGAAAGGGCATGCATTATTACATTTCTACTTTAAAAATGTAAACAAACTTTTAAGTTTTAATTGAAAATCTTTTGAGAATTTAATATGGAAAATATTTTTTACATCATTCTTAGCCCTCATTATCTTTTAACTCTACCTATGTACCACACATTTCTACTTCCTCTCATATTCATGAACTCTTCTTTAATTTTCCTCTTTGTCTTTGTCTGTCTGTCTGTCTTTCACACACACTCACACCCCACACATACATATGCATATGCCTGCTGATTGTATTTACTGTTGGTTGTACGCACCATTTTTAGGACTGACCACCTGGGATTTGATAATCCACATGGGAGCTCATCCCAGGGAAAAACTAAATCTCTTTCTCTTGGCAGCCATTAATTTCCTATAGACAGGGACTTGAGAGGTTTCCCACACCCAAGTTAATATATCACCTGGTGTCTCATTTCGGTGAGCATATTTTTGAGATTTTGTGGGTATAACTTTCCTGTCAAATAAGGAAGACTTGGTCTCCTAGCAGACATCCTTGTCCTCTGGCCCTTACAATCTTCCTGCTCCTTCTTCAAAAATGTTCCCTGGACCTTAGATTTAGGGGTTATGTTGTTGGTATATCACTTGGAGTTGAGTACTCCCCAGTCAGCTGAGCTCCCCATTTTGACTTAATGGTTTCTGTCTGCTATAAATATAAATGTTTGATCACATTTATTTGTAAACCTAATGTGTACAGCCATCTGCTTTCCTGTGTTTTGTTTGTTTGGGATGTTGTAAAATTTCAATGAATGACCACTAAACAGTAGGCATAGCACCAGCCATTTGAGGCCCTCTTCAAAATTGTGGTTGGCACGTTAATTCTATCTGATATAGAATTATACAATTACTTCACTTTGAAGAGCTACACTTGACACTTTGTATTTCTAGCAGTGAGTTAATGTTACTTTAGATGTGGTCCTGAAATATCCTCCAGAAAGAAAGACTAAACACTTCTGCCACAATTTGCAGTTGCCCTTCTCAGCCTTGTCAAGTTGCTTCTGATCTCTTCTCTTATACATTGCCATTTACCTCTGTGTGATTGACATTTTCTGGTCTGCATAGTGAAGCATCATGTATACAAATAGGCAAAGATAAAATATTTATTCATTTGTTTGAAATTAACCAAATTAGTCAAATAGATTTTTACCTTTGTGTTTCTATTCTCATTTATGTATGTATCTGTGTATGTGGTGTGAGTGTGGGCACATAAACATTTTTGCATGTGTATGTGTGTTTATGTGGGTATGCAGGAAGCATATGTAAATGTGGAGATGTCAGGTTGATGCCAGGACTTACCCTTGTTTGTTCAATTATGCGGTCCCTATACCCAACTTTCAGGAAAGCAAAACTTTCAACCCTAGATATCCTCACATAATAACTTCATCAATTCACGTGATTTGTAAAGTGGCCAGATGACAAATTTCAGTGTTTAAATCCCTCTAATGTCATAGTGCTGGTGGGCAGGATTAATTCCATTTAGACACACTCTACTAGATAAGATGCTTTCTTTTTGTTTATTTATTTTAAATATTATTAATTATTTATTTTCTTTTTATTGTAATTGATTGTAAATATACCTGAAATTAAAATGTAGTTTTATCACTCTCCCCTTTCCTGTTCCTCATTCTAGCCCCCTATGTCTCTTTCCTACAGTTCCTCCTATTTCCTCCCTCCCTCTCAAACTGATAGTTTCTTTTTCTTTGATTATTATCATTATATCCATATAGATGCACAAATATATAAATCCAATCTTCTGGATCTACTTTTGTTGTTCGTGTGCATATGGTTTCAGGGCTGGATTCTTTTGTATTGGGTAACTTATTAGGCATTCATCCCTAGGAAAAGCTATTTCTCCCTTTCTTAGTCTAATTAGTTTAATAGTCTAATGACTATTAATTTACTATAGAGCTTTGTCTAGGGGTAGGATGTCCTACCATTAGCATATTTCAACAAACACTTTATACAACTATGTATGTTTTTAGGATGAATTTCTTGTAGGAAGACTTCCCCTGAACATGGGAAGCACCAATTCATGGAATTATGTTCAGGGGTTAGTTCTCCTAGGTGATTGTAGATCCTGTCAAGGCAACAGTTATAGTCAACTATTCAAAGAAGTAAGGGGTCTTTCTTTCTCCTGAGACCTCCAAATGTAGGAGTCCATATTGTTACTTCAGAGAACTGTGGTCACCACTAATTGACTCTTGGGCATGTAAAACAGTTCATATTGTGATAAGTAATGATGATCTCAAACTCAACTAGAAATACATATTTCCGTTAATTTAGTGATTCTACCCTTGGGACAGAAGGTATAATGTTGTGTATAGAAGTATATTCACCACAATCTTTTTTTATGATAATAAAAATGGAAGCAAAAGAAATTCTACATATGTTAATAGGTATCCTTTGTGTGTCAATCTTGATTCCTATATGTATCTTAGAGAATGAAATGTTACGGGTAGAAAGCACTGTTAAGTTCAACAATCTCCCAGAGAACTGTCAAACATAGCTGAAGTGTAGAAATGGCTATAACCACAGTTCTGGCAAAATTCCCACAGATTTCTTTTCAAAGTTTCAAGGGAGCAATATGGATTGCTAGGAGAGAAGTCTGACAATGTTACAGATTCCTAGATTGCTACATCTTACCTTCACAGCTCTGTATCTATCTCATAATCAGGAATATTCTCCATACCGTTTTTGCTCCACACCATTCTGTTGGTTGAAGAAGAAAGTTGCTGTGTATTGTTTTGATGGTGTTTCTCATTTTTAGGCAATGCCCTAAATGGAAAAGTCAATACTCTTGAAATGTATAGAGTACAGAAGTTGTAAACAGCCAGTAAAGTCATTTTCTTATTTTTCTCTTCCTACAGAAACTCCACATACTGCATGAAGGTGTCAATGTCCTTGACTGTTGCCGAGAATGAATCAGGCCTCTGTTACAATAGCAGGATCCGCTACTTAGAGAAATCTGAAATTACTAAAAGAAAGGAGATCTCCTGCCCAGATATGGAAGATTTTAAGAAGTCCGACCAGGAACCTGATGTTGTATGGTACAAGGTAATTCAGCATGGTGTCAAATAAACATTTTTAAAAGACTTAATTAATAGCAGCCTTGGGAATGGGCATTTTATTACCAGTTTCTGGTATTAAACAGCTTGCTGAGAAGACTCAACAGATTTACAGCAAAAAAAAAAAAAACTTAGAGGTGTGACTCCTATATGCCACTGATTTTTGTGGATTTCCATCAGCAAATGTCAGAAGCTATCCCAATTTCCCCAACTGTTAAGAAATAAAATTACCACCTCAGCAAAGAAGAAGGGTAAATATTTAGACAAAATGTACAACAAATTAGTTTATTGATATAGGTATCTTGTGTACCATGAAGAAGAAAAGTAGTAATAACACCTATGAAGGATAACCATTGTTACCATGATGAACAGTGTGAGCTACTGCAGTGGAGGCAGAAGTGACAAGTGGGCTTTTGTTCTATTCATGTGAACACCAGAGGAGGATTAACCAGGCATAAGCTATGTTCAGAGGTTCAATGGAAGGACATTGTATGTGGAGAGTATTTACTGAGGTAGAGGCAATATTGAGGGAATCAACAGGAGAGGAAGCTGTTGATTGTTACTCCTGAGGAGCTGTCACTGGAACCCAGCAAGAATGAAGGTGTTCTTCCAAGATTAATAGCTAGAGAAGAACATATGAAGATGATAGACAAGAAAAAAGGAGGCTAGAATAAGTAACATAGTCTCTCTTAACACCTGCCTGCATTTCTGAAGTTAGTTGACTCCTACTTCCATTAGAACACAGGACAAAAGCAATAGGTAGAATCAGGCCTTCAGGTGCACTGGGCCTAGACTATAGCACAAAGGGCAGGCATAGTAGGGAAGCAGAGAATAATTACACAGTTCTGTCATTGAATTCTTGCTAAAATCCTGGATGATACTTATAGCCCTGAAACATTTTCTTTTCCTTCCTTTCTTTCTTTTTTTCTTTCATCCTTCCTTTCTTCATTCCTTGTCTTTTCCTTTCTTACTTTCTTTCATCTTCTGTCTTTCTTTTTTTGGGGGGGGGGGATTTTAGAGACTGTGTGTCTCTGTATAGTCATAGCTGTCCTGGAAATAGTTCTATAGACCAGGCTGCCCTTGAACTCACAGTGATCTGCCTGCCTCTGCCATCTAAATGCTGGAATGAAAGGTGTACACCACCACTGCCCAGATGCAAACATTTTCTTGACCACAGAAGTTGCTACTCTATACAGATTTTTATATGATAGTTACAAGTGATCAAGTACATTTTTTCATAGGTGATGTGCACATTATTAGACCAAATTGCAAGAGTTGAATTTGGTGGTTTCTGCCGGATTGTGTGATCCTACTCTTCCTGTGGATCCCTATACCTGAATATTTAAAGCTGCTAGGACATTTTACCTTTGGAAACATTTTTTTTTGTTTTTACACCTGGAAGAACTCACCAGCACATACTAAGAGTATGTACTCAACTATGACTTTCATTCTTTCTTTTTTCTTAGCAGAGACAGTTATTACAAATAACATTTATTCCTTCAGGCAGACTATAAATAATTTAATGGGACCTTTCATGCTATCATCAACCTCCTTTGTATATCTTAAGTAATTCTTATATGCCATTCCCTGTAATTAGCTTGTTCTCTATCTTATCTCATCTAAATCTCAGTATAACTTTTGTGTGGTGAGAATTTTATTTATTAAAGAGAAAACAGGAGCTTGGATAGATGTAACACTGCTAAATTTACAGCGCTCTGTGTTCAAGGCACTATGACTTGAGAGACCATTTTCTTGATTACTATGCTTTTCTACGATGATTCAGTCTTGATCATAGACACTTCTATAAGATGCATGCATGATGGGTACAGACCAGACATTTGCCCCCCAAAATAACAAAAACTTTACTTCAATTTTATAGGAGGGAATGGGGGAGTCCACCTACCCCAGACTGAGCAGCTGGAGTAAAATCAAGCTTAGCAGGCTCCCTGTACAGTAATTCCTTCTACCTCATCTTCTTATCTTCTGCTAGCTCACTCCTTCCCCTTTCCTTAGGACTTTCACACCTCCAGCCACTTAGTCCTTGGGAAGTAATACTCCTCCCTCCCCTCGCCAAATGGATCAATAAATCAAGAACAAAAGGACTTCTAAGCTCTGCCTGAGTATAATGTCTAAAATTTAGTTTATTAATTTAAATTTATTTTAATTGATCAAAAAGTATAAAATAGTGCATAACAGTTGCCTGTTAACGCTTATATAAATTTTGCAATGTTTATATTAATTTAAAGTATTCTGTCTCCTCAAACATTCATCATTTGTTTGTGGCAAGAGCATTTAAAGTCCTCTCTTTAAGTTATTTTTAAATGTTCAATACCTTGTTGATTATAGTAAAATAACTGTAAAATAATAGTAGAGCACAAGTTATTGATCCTGTATAAATGGAATTCATGCAGTTACCCCAAATTTTCCCCTTTACTGTGAGTTCTCCTCACAACTTCTATGAGATAAACTTTTTGCTTTCCACATGTGAGTGAGATAATTTGTTACATTTCTTCCTGGGCCTGACTTACTTCAGTTAATCTAGCAATTTCTAGTTCTAGCCATGTTGACACACATGATGGGATTTGCAACCTTTTCATGGTTAGCATTACACCGTATCTGTATACCACATTGTCTTTATTACCAGTATCCCCTCCCTGACTTTTGCCTTCAGTACAATTTACCCTTTTCCTTTGTGATACTAAATGCTTGTTCTCCATATTAGCTCAATTCTTAGAACTACAATTTAAATATTTTAAACCCATTTTGTAGAATAAGGGACTAGAGAAGCAGAACAGAAAAGCAACATAGTAGTGTGTGAGTGTTACTTTCATCTGGAATTTGATAATAAAGAACTTCTGAGATTTCAAGTGTGTGGTTGACCATTGATTCTCTTATGAAGTTTCAAGCAAATCCCAGAAGATGTTTTGAGGTGTTAAAAAAAGTGGTTTATTCTTGAAGTTAATTATTTCAGTACCATACTCTGCCCTCTTTTCAGGTCTCTGAATTTCATACCTAGCAACATAGGAAGGTACTTGTCTCTGGCTACAGAATCACTATATAAAGTGAAGGATTTATTTGTATAGAGTTTATTCTGTAGTAGGAGCGGCAGGTTACGTTCCTGCTGCCCAGCCGTCTGGCTAGCTTATGCCCCGAAATAACACCATACAAATTGTATTCATTTAAATACTGCCTGGCCCATTAGTTATAACCTCTTATTGACTAGCTCTTACATATTGATCTAACCCATTTTTAATATCCGTATTGCCACTTGAATGTGGCTTACCGGGACGAGTCTAACGGGCATCCATCTCGGAGAGGAGAATCATGGCGACTGACTGACTCGGCTTCTTTCTCCCAGCATTCTGTCTGTCTACTCCGCCTACCTATTTTTCTGTCTTATTAAAGGGACAAGGCAGTTTCTTTATTTTTATTCCCAGACAAATCCTAATCTTGGTATATCTAATGTCTTCTTTCTAGTGTTTTGCAGTGAGAACATATTTTTTTCACTATTATCTTTGTAGCTATTTTTTCAAATATGCAATCTTAAATCTGGTTTCCATTCTGTTCACCACTATTTTCTTAACCTTCTCTCTGATACTATTACTCTCACTTTCTCTTATGAGTTTCCAAGACTCTGTGCAATATGTTGGTGGTGGCCTCTGGTGGCTATCATCTTCTTCCAGTCCATAATCACAGGATCAAAGCTTAGCTGGCAGCACTGTTCATAAATGTTTATAAAGATGAATGAGTAAGGGAATTCCTCCTATACATATAATGCAAGGTATAAAAGTAAGTAGCTTACTTGACTCCTCTCTGAATCTCATTGGTCAATGGAAGGAGGAGATGAGAAGGGGATACACTTTAGAAATTCTGCCTGATATTCCATGAATGAAGGCTAGATGCTTGGGTAGAGCATTGAATGGCTTTTATTACCATTTAGAAATAAGAGGCAAAGTATCTTCCTTATTGAACTAAGGATAACACTCAATACCCCTCTCATTCACTGAGAACAATTTTCCACAAAAGTATCAAGTCTCATTACTTGGTACTTTTACTTCAAATTTTTACTTTAATTTTTATTAGAGTATATTACTTATACATGATTGGTTCCATTATAACATTTTCACACATATATAGAATACATTTTTGCTCTCCCCTACCATTATCCTCTTTTGACCCATTCCTTACCATTCCTTTACTTTCCTTAGAAAGTCCTATATTTAATTTATTCAGTTTCTAAATGAAAAGGTTCTCTAGCTTTTCTAGAAAACTAACAGTGCAAACACAAAATATACTTTGACATTTGATATTCTTCTAGTTTAAGTAGTTGCCTCAATTCGTGGCCCAATTTTAAGGAGGTAAAGGATAGCAGTTTGAATTTTCTTGTTTCTGTTATGTCTATGTGATTATGAATTGTAGTAATATGAGCGGCGGGGCTGCATCCCCAGCACCCAGGCAGCCTGGCTAGCTTATGTTCCGAAATAACAACACACAAACTGTATTCATTTAAACACTGCTTGGCCCTTTAGCTCTAGCCCTTGCAGGCTAATTCTCACATCCCGATCAACCCATCTCTAATAATCTGTGAGCACCGGTCTTACCGGGAAAGGTTCAGCATGTCTAATCTGGCGGCTTGCTTCATCATGTGCGTCTGCCCGGGAGAGCGGAGCATGGCATCTCTCTGAGGCGTCTGCTCCAGAGAGGAGAGCTGTGGAGTCTGAGCTCACTTCCTCTTCCTCCCAGCGTTCTGTTCTGTTTACTCCTCCCACCTATCTTCTAACCAATGAGAGCCAAGCAGTTTCTTTTTATTTAACCAATGACCTTCCTCCATCAATGAATTTTTGCCATTAGTTGTAATTGATACTGAGAATAAATGAATTAATACTTGTTAATGTATTCATTCAAAGAATCATTGGTTCAATGCTTACATTCTGGGTACCAATCTAAGCAAGACAGTATTCTAGGAGCTGGGATAGGTGTAGTGACCAA